TAAATGTAATAAAGGACATGTTATGTAAGCATTATATTTCTTAAATGGCTTGAATCTTACCTTTAGCAACACAAAACTAGCTTTTAAAATGTAGCTAGTTCTGTGGCACATGGACATCTTGGACATGTTGTTATGGGAACACAAAGTCACATGACCTGGCCCATGACCCACCAGACTGTTCAGTGTGTGTCATACAGGGACTTCATGAGATAAAATAAAGGCTAAAGCTGGATAAGAAACTTTCCAGAACATTTAAATGTCATGTGACATCTGTGTCACCTTCCGGGCCAAAATACAATAACCATAACAGTCAATATGTGTGATGGATTCATGTTGCTATATAGCATTTTGGTGTAACGAATATAAAAAAATAGACTGCAATCATTTTGAATAATGATTCACTCTTGGAATGACCGATTGTACTCAATTCTACTTAATTTAATGTTTTTGTTGCTATAGGCTCATGCCAATAAAGTATATTGAATTGAATTGAAGAGAACTGCCATCAGCCCCTGGGCAGAATCTCTGCTTATCATCACTGGGAGAACAGGTACCACAGCAGGCTATCATGGGTCAGCATTCATTCTCAGTTTCCCATGATGCACTGCTACATCTTCCCTTTTAAGAGAACTTAGTCTATAGTGCACAGTTACATTTAATTAAGACTGGATTCGGAAAAAGATTGGTATACATAGCCAGCAATACTGAAAAAGGCATATATTTAAAAAAACAATATGGTAGAAAAGCCTTCCTTTAATATGACGTAAATGCAAGTTTTCCCTTAAAGACATTTGAATGAACTCATGATGGTTGTGTCTTTACCACCAACTCAATGTCTTTTCTCAATACTGATGTTTTCATATTCTGCAGTTTTGAATAACTGCACAATCTGACATTTAATTTAGCTTGAGTTCTATTATAGATGCTACACTGCTCTATGATGCAGGGACACATCTATTTACCATTAATATTTACACTTCTCACCAGAACTTTTTATAATTCCTTTTTTTCCTAAACCTTTTTTGGAAAGCCTTGAAGTTAATCCCAACCTTAAAAAACAGCACTTCCACAAAACAATCCCAACTCAAGATTCGCTAACTTGCTTTCTCTGGAGCTCCCAATCATAGCACTTTGTATTCTATTAAAAATCTCAGCTGTTATGATTTTCTTCAATGCATTTTTTAGGACTTATTATCTGTGTTTACGAATGGTGAAGGCTCTTGTAAGGACCTTCAGTTTATATTATTTTGTCAAACTTTTATCTTCGAGGTCAATCCTTTAATTTACAGCCAATATAGACAAGATATAAATGCACTCAATCTTCTGAATGACTGATGGGAAGCATAAGACATAGCTAGCTGTTGGACCTTGAGTCTGGATTGTGTTATCAAGCTATTTTCCCCTTTTTTGTGATTTAAACATTTCCTCTGTATAATTTGTCTCAATACTTGTCATTATTGCTTCCAAATTTGTATTAATTAATTCTTAATTGTTTTAGTCAGCTTCCTGCAATTGTTGAATAGGTAACTAGTAAAATAATAGAAAACATTTATTGTAATTTATTCTCTTTTTTAATCGGAAACTGTAAATCTTTCAAGCCTGTCCCTTGTGCAGTCCACTTTTGTAATAGCAATAATGGGTACAATGGTAAGCTTGATATTTACACCACATTTGTAAAACTAAATGACAAGAAAAACGACAAGTAAATCATGAAAACACACAAAAACCACCCCCAAAGCTCTACAAAAACATCCAATTGCTCTTCACACAAAACAAACGCCCAGCGTTAAAGACCCTGAAGACACACACAACAGAGTGTTCTTGTTGTAAAACCACAATAAAACCCTTTCACTGAGGGTCAATAAAGAGCCATTAAACGCTCATCATCTCACACACAGATCAATTCAAGAAGCAGTTATGTGGGTCATATGTTGACTTCTAAAGTAAATTTGTCTTCCACTATGTTGACAAAGGCCAGCAACTTTTTGTCATCCTGACCGCTACACATCAGGACGATTGTGTGGCTCTGAATTGACTTCCAGTAGTTTAACGTCTATTGTTCCCGGCAGAACATCCTGTTCATCCTTTAGTGTTCAAATCTTTATTGTTGAATACCCCAAATGTCAAAACATTCTTTAAATTCATTGCTTTGAGGAATGAGAGAAAACCAGCTCAGGTACAAACAATCTCATACAAATGTCTAAAACTAGAACAAATTCAACACAGTTAGAAAACCCGGAGCATGCATTCACACTCTCCCTCAAACACATGTGCTTTGTTCAGTTTTCTGTGTGTATTTCAGCCCTTTGTTGAACACAAACATGATATTTTCTCTGCAGTACCTTTTGACTGAGGTGATGTTGACAGCTGGAGAGTTTGAACGTATGGAATAACATTTTGCTTTAGGAGAGTCCTAAGCCCATTCTAGGGATGTGTTATAATTGTGACACACATTTAACCCAATAATATACATAGACACAAGAGTAAGCATACTACAGCCCCTAGTTTTGCTGCTATAGGCTTAGACTGTCGGGGGACACCTTACTTCTTCCTTCTCGCTGTCTGTACCTCTCATGTTCCGAATAACCCAGCTTCCCCCAAGTTTCTTTTTGGTGTCTATCTACGCCGGGATCCTGAGTCGAGGCTAATCCTGTTGCTGTGGTCCTGTGTCCTGGATCATCTATCCTGAGTTCTGGATTTGAGTCCTGGACTTCGAGTCGTGGCTGAACCTGTCACTGTGGTCCTGCCTGACTCTCATCATACTACTTCCCTGATGGCTCCCACAGGATTGTTGACATCCTCGTGGATTCATCTTCTTATTACAGACACATGCATTTCCAAACATTTGGACTACCTATGTTGTAAATGTATTATCTCTTCGATTTACACACGGCATCTATTGCACGTCTGTCCATCCTGGGAGAGGGATCCCTCCTCTGTTGCTCTCCCTGAGGTTTCTCCCATGTTCCCTTTAAACTGTGGGTTTTCTCTGGAAGTGTTTCCTTGTACGATGTGAGGGTCTAAGGACAGAGGGTGTCGTATTGTCATACTGATATTCTGTACACACTGTGAAGTCCACTGAGACAAATGTAACATTTGTGATATTGGGCTATATAAATAAACATTGATTGATTGATACATAATCATACAGTAACCTAATTAGAAATGCGTGGGTGTTGAAAATTATGTGACGTGCACAAAGTCCTTTTTTTATTTGAGGCTTTAGAAATGCCATAGTGACCCACTGTATTGTTACTTAAATGTCTAGAGAAACACTTGAAATAAAACACATCAAGTTCAATTAGAAACGGACTACATTTATATAGTTCAATAACATTGACTTAAAGTGAAAGAATGCTACATCTACTTGAATATTTCAACGCTTTTCACGTCAGGCTTGGAACTATGACAACAAAAAAAAACAAGGCTACTGTATCTGTATATTATATGTTATAATTTGGATTCCTAAAGCTTTTAGCCTACCATCCCATCATTCAAGGGTGGTTTTTACTATAAGTAATTCTTTTTTTTTGGACGGACACTATAATTTACATTTTGCTCTGTTCAATCTAAATTTACTTTAAAATAAAAACATCTATATTGATTCTGGCACTTCTACATCCAACTCACAGGTGTAACCTTGCTTTGAGAAAAAAGATTATTAATTTACCCCTTTTAGAAGGGAAGATAGGTCATTTGTTCTGGGAATGTCATTTTCGAGCCTGAGACCTGAAAAACAGGCTCAGGGCTTAACAATAGACTAGTAGTGCTTGTTTATAAAAAATGATGTCTCTATGCAAAAGTTAAGTATCCTTTCCATGAGTATACCTTTCTTTCTTTGCTTTCAATAAATAAATAAATATTAACATATGAATAAAAAAAAACATACGAGTATCATTTAACTTTGGCAATTGTCATAACAAATATATACACCAGAAATAAATATCAATGGGTCAATATGCGTAGTTTGTTTGCACTGGGTCCCCTGTTACACATCTTCATATCAGTTAAAGACTTTGGGTGTTACACAAGCAATCTGTTAAAAACAAATAAAGACCTGTGTTATTTATTTGTGTTTGTTTACATTGTCTTTTCTTTTGACTAATATGACTTTTACACATGACTGATATCAAGCTTAGTTGGTGACAACAGTACATAAGGCAAATTAACTGAATGATCATCATATGATATACTTTGTTGTGGTTCAATAATGTCATGTGCTGACACCATACATTAACTCTGCCTCGTCTATCAGAGAAACTGTAAGCACTCAGTCAGTGGCTGAGAAAACAGACCTATATCTTTATCTGCTTTTACCATATCCTGCCTGTTCAACATATGGGGCAATATTTATCTTTACAATTGTATTTTCTCAACAGTAACAAATGATAATAAAAAAACAAGATCTACATTGGGGACAAAACAAGGCCACACAACCAACAACAGAAAAAGACAAAAAAGATAGTATAAAAGTGTATTATTTTCAAACATGTTGTTCAAACATGCAAAGGGACAAAATATATCATGAAAATAGCCATCATTAACATACATTAAACATGCTTTATTTGTATGTGCTTTTGCTTTTAAAAATATTGCAATAAAAGCAGAAATTAGGACTTGCTGAAAGTTGCCTAACTGTTAGACAAAACATAACAAAAACAGTGAAAAAAAGTATTATTGATACATTAATATTTCCAAAGCTGTAGCAAAAGGGGCAATATTTATAGCCAATCAAATAAAAAATGGCCATCAGTAACATTTATGTATTTAGTTGTATGTGCTTTTAGTAGATTGCTTCTAAAAGCATTGCAATAATAGCAGAATTGATACCGAAAGTTGGAGCGATATTTTTTGTAACTAAAGGAGATTTTTTTTCAAATGCCAGCTGTCAAGATATTCAAAAATAGCCGATTTACGTGGAAATAGTGGATAGAAGTGTGCACCTAACTAAGTGTAGCACAGTCGCTGTTGCGGCAATAAACGGAGCAGTAGAGGAGCTACAACATCCGGGCAATACTCAGCTTACACAGAAACGGAATGGCGGAGGTAAGTGAGCGAAAACGAGGAGTGTAACGAGTCAAATTAGAGAATAAATAGAGCGAATTTAACACTTTTGTCACGTCGTGGGGCACAAAAGAGTGTTACGGTGTCAGCGGCTGGGAAACCCCGGTTCAAAGAGGGGCTACGGGGGTGTTTTAAGTGAAAAAGCGGGGGGAGAAATGGAGAAGCTCTCCAGCGAATCGCCTCTCTCCGCGTTCTTAGCTTTAAAGAGCCATTCCCTCCTCCGCCTTGATAGTAAATCCGCATAAAACAAAAGGCAGGGGTCTAACACGGTGGTGCTGAACTGTTTCAGGTGCGAAGTGAGACGAAGTGAGTAGAAAAAGTTGGGAGGGATGTCACGACTTGTCGGCGGTAAACTCCAAAACGTCCCTTTCGGAAATATTGAGAAACTAGTTCCTTCTTGTGTAGCCGGGGAGGAAGAGACGTTCAGCACCAAGTCACAGGAAAGCGCCCCTGGTCAGGCACCCAATGCTACAGACACACCTTATATTTATATTTTACACTGGACTTTTTATTCTAATTTACCAATAAGTGGTGTGTGAAGAAGTTTAATGTAATTCAATGAGTGGTGGCACGCCGTTTGAACTACGGTGGGCTACATCCTCTGTCCTGTAGCCTGCTGCACGAAGTTTCTACACTTCTGTGTTAGCCTCTTATGTGGCCTCAACTTGCATGGCTGCTTCAACTACATTTGTCCCACTTTGACTTCATTATTTTAGCCGAAAGCCTGTATAGAAAACATGTTGGCAAAGTAAGAGAATGTGCTTTCACCCCATATGGAAAACTATTCGCTGAACATTACGTTTTTATTTTAAGTAGTATCACACCAAAACTAAAGCTGTAATCAGTGGTGTAAAGTAACGAGGTACGTTTACTCAAGTAGGCTACTGTACAGTTTTGAGTTACTTGACTTGACTATTTCCACTTTCTGCTACTTTGTACTTCTCCTCAACTACAACTCAGAGGTAAATACTATTCTTTTACTCCACTACATTTACTAAGTAACTTTAGTTGCTTTTCAGATTTGGATTAATGATGTGAAATGTATTCAACTCTTAAATCAGACTTTAGTTCCACCTGGAGTAAATCCACAAGCTACCCTGCAGTATACACAGTCATTCAAACTAGCTGCACCTTTACCAGCTTTGATAACACTTTCATGATCAATCATTATAATCATATATATATTATTCTTAAATGGGCAATTCTGCACAATGACTACTTTGACTCTTGGTACTTTAAGTATATTTTGATGCCAATACTTATCTACCTTTACTTGAGTAATATGTTGATTGCATGACTTTTACTTGTACAGAGTATTCCTACTTTTACATCCTCTGTCCTGTAGCCTGCTGCACAAGGTTTCTTCACTTCTGTGTTGACCTCTTATGGTTGCATTAATTACATTTGTTCCACTTTGACCTTCTTATTTTAGGCCAAAGCCTACTTTGGAAAACATGTAGGAGAATGTGTATGAAGAACTATTAGCTGTTATGTTTTGATTTTAAGTAGTAGGCCCTTTTATCAAACCAAAACCACAGCTGTTGTGGGTTCGTTTATTATTTTCTGTGATTTTCAAAAGATAAAAAGCTACAATTCAGTGCCACGCGTAGATTACAATGTTACCCCTACAGCAGGTCGCAGTTTAAGTTCAAAATGGTGGGTTAAGATAATAAGGACTTTTTTGCACTTTTCTAAAAACAGAGTACACAAAGTGCTTTACATAGCCTAAAATAGAAATGTATACGAAAAAATTATAACCCTTATAAAATTAGATACAACTTAACACATCAATAAAGTGGAGATACAATTGTGTGCCAACAAATAATAATTCAAAAGTCAGGGATCAGCCATTTGATTCTTCATGTTGTTAAGTGGCAGGAATGTATAGGAATGTACCTCCATGTTGTAATTCCTTTGCATGCTGCTTTACGTGACGGTACAAATAACTCTGTGTTTGTTTGTGTCTGCAGGTGGGTGAAAAGCCCCTGAAGAGAAGTGTGCATGTCGTGGTCTAGTGGAGAGAGGATGAGGAACTGTGAGGAAGACCCTCAGCAGGAGAAGCGGAAGTGTTAACCAGCCTTAGAGGAGTTTCAGAGGACGTTCGCCCCATGAAGATGGCCGCACAGTCCCACACTGTACGCTCAAGTTCAGCCATCTACACTAAAGTTAGTAACTGTATGAACACCTCAGACACTTTCTGCAGACGTCACTGCATCACTAACAAACCCTTAGTCACATTATTCTTACTATTCAAAATATATGCTTTGATTGAAATCTCGAAACTCATAGCTTAATAATTGACCATGGTGTTATGAGGTTGTTTCCAAATGTATCTGAAGTTTGGTTTGCAAGATTATTATACATTATTCCCAGAAATATTATGTAAACTACACCATTTAAAATCAGAGGAACAAAATCATTCATCACCTTATGTAACTAAAGGGAAACAATAAACAAACAGATTAAGTTCAGATATTCACACATTTTTTTCTGTAAACTGTTGACAAAAACCCCTCAGACTAAAAGGAGCAATGACCCTATCACCGTCTTGAAATCTTTTGGGCCAAGACCAAGCCCAGTGCATTCAGTCTACTTGAGCTAAAAGTGTACTTGAGCTAAAAGTGTACTTTAGCTAAAAGTGTACTTTAGCTAAAAGTAGACTGAAATGTGTTTCTGAAAACATTATAGGCGAGAAATAAGCAATGCAGTAACCACATCTTGATTCATATTTGATATTTTAGCTTTTTCTGCGTTTTCTCTACCTGTGGTTTAATCTTGTAAAAGTTATTTGGAGTGCTATTAGAAGTGAGAGGGAACTACTGCCGGGATATAGTGTTGGTTTCAGCGAATATGAGGAAAAACATTGTTTACAAATGAAGTTACACACTCTATCTTTAACTCCTTAAATGTGACTGACATGAAGAAGGCTTTTTTTCTGGGTTTAACTTTGAAGATATTCCGGTTTGTCCATTTGCCTTTATCAATTCTCCATTTGTTATGAGTTGGAGATGTCTTTCCCATTTGAGAGGGACTCTGCAAACTGAGTGAAAGCTAGGGAGACATTTGGGCAAAAGAAGAAAACATATACACATCATTAATGAACTGACAGTCTAGAAAATGTGGAAGTAATCTAATCTTCTCCCTCTGTAACTGTGTGTCTGAAGGCTGGGGAGCTTCCTCTGGTGGAGCTGCTGGCTCTGTACGGCTACACCATGTCAGACCCAGAGAAGGAGACCTGTCACATGACTGCCAGCCTGCCAGGCATGACACTGGACAAGGCGAGATGCAACGTGAATGGCTGAAATGCGATTACTTAATTCTGTGTTCTCCTCTGTGCTTTGATTTCATTTGCTGTTCCATTGTTGTATTTGACAGGATCAGATTACCGAGGATCTCTTTCCTGGGGAGGAGGAGGAGTCGTCAGCTGGTTATCTCACCCCCTCCGTCACCTCAAACACCTCAGATCTGCTCCGCCGCCTGCAAGGTAATAAACACATAGACGTACATTTACCATCACCATATCGCGCAGAATAAAAGGAAAGAAAATGGTGGGTTTGCGTCATTAATTCAATTCAAACGGAACAGCTTTTGACCCAAATCGATGATCTTTTCAGATGAAACCTTATGGTAGTAATAACAGAAAGCACCATTTTTGTAACATTTGATTTTGTGGAATATTTTCTCAACATTAGATTTAAAAGCAGTGCTTTTGCTGATATTGCAGCGTGTTATTTACAGCTAGGCAGTACAATTCAATAAAATGACACGCCACCAGTGCCAGGAAATTACATTTTATTTCTGTATAATATCATATGAGAACTTCCTGGTATGCTACCATGTTCTGCTTTATGTGTCTTTTTCCAACTTTGTAGTGACATTTTTGTTGCTGAGTCCACAAAATATCAAATATGTGGCACGTATGCAGCTTTGTCTGTTTGTTTCTCTCAAGCCATAGTAGAGGAGATGCCTTTCGCCTCTTTGATTCTTCATCCTGAATTGTATTTATACGGAGTTTAAAGTATTGCATTTTTTTTTCACTAAGTCCACTGTCTCTCTATAAATCCCAGTATTACCCACTACTGCTTCATTATCTCAATAGGCTTCACTTGTCGAATAATGGTTAAAACATTTTAAGACTTACATAAATATAGAATTTTGCAAATGAGGTTTCGAAAAAAGTTATATTGCTGGATCAAGAGTTTTGAGATCATTTCCAGACATGCAGGTACTGTTGAGGATTTAAATAAAACCAAAAGGCCGGATAAATTAGATTTTTTTTAAAAAAACAGTATGACACATCCCTCAATTTGTTATTTTGAAATATGCAAAGACAGATATGTAATCTTAGCCAAAAGACAAATGTGGAGACTGACATCCCAGAGTTCGATTGGATGACTCAATGTAATGTAGCAATAACAAGAAGTGCACACACAGCAGTAAAATCATTTAAACGGTAGATTGTGGGTTTTCAGATCTATCTGTTCTTGTTCAAACTTTAAGGACCATCAGCAATACCCTGAATGATCTTGCCATGTTTATCACGTTAGAGCCATTCAGAGAGCAAAGGCCAATCAGGCAGACCCTCAACATCATAACTCCTGCCATCAGGAAGGAAGCATCTTTTTCAAGAGGCCCCCAAAAGGATATCTGAGATCATAGACCTGGTTTCCCTTCCACTCAGACTCTTTGGTTCATTTATTATAAGGAAAACCACCTTTTTGTCTACTGTTTAATGTATATATATTAAAATCTTTGTATCATGTGTATTGGTTGTGTTGAATTCTGTTTGCAAACCGAATTGCTCATCAGGAAAAGATGATCCAATCCAGTCAAATATTCTGTCTTTCAGGTGGAGACAAAGACACATTAGTCAGCTCCTCAGAAGAAGACTTGGATGATGCCTTTATTCCCTCCAAAGAAGAGCACAAGGTAGGCCACTCAGGGCAAACACATATACACAACACAACAAATAGGAAACTATGAAATCGGTAGAGTGCAGATTCGTTGCCACCACTGCTGTAATGTTTGTCAGAATGAATACTAACCACAGTTCTATAGCCCCCTTTCTTAACCGCAAGTGTGTCAGATGCTTTTTTTCACTCACACCTCTAACGCAAGGAATGCACTCTCATTGTAATCCTGTTGCATCGGGTGCTGAGAGACAAAAAACCTCTCAATCACAAACAATTTCACCTATTAGTTCAAACTCCACAAATAAAGCCTTAAATAAAAATGAAATAAAACGTAGAGAAGCTGGACCCTTACATGCACACGCACGCAATCCACAGGAAGCAGGTCCGTGAGTGTAAGTCAAGCTGTTATGTGCACACACACCTGGCAGTGGAGGTTCTTACTCTGTCAAGTTGTGAGTATGCAAACAAAACTCTACAGCAGGAAATGGCACTTCAAAATATAAGCACCTGGAAATTCATTCGACTTTCTGATGATTCCTTTCAGAAAGACCCACTTTGCAACCAACCAGTTAGGAACCCCCGCCCTAAAGCACTCGCTAAATGAGACCATAATTTATAAAATGATCATCATGCTTTATGGAGAAGACATGAAACTAGCGATTAAGACCATAAACTCGGCAGGAAAAATGTACTGAGGTAATAATTCAAGTGAGAAGTTGATTTATTCATCGACAGTGGCGGCGCCAGAGTATCTTTGTTGGGTAATCTATGGTAGGGCTAACCCATACAGTGGTGGGGCTCAAGTCAGTCACGCTATATCGCCCCCCTTGACAGTGAAACGCCACGCGTGAGGTTTAGATTATTTCCCTGTCTCAATCAAAATGGAACTGTATGAAATAAAACTAGTGGTGCACGATAATTATCGACCCGATAATTATCGGTCCGATATTAGGAATTATGACGTCATCCCGATAAACCCGATAACAGTATTAATAGCCCCGATAATATACAATATATTTTTTGGGTAAGAAAAAAATACTGCGGTGTGGGTGGATTGGGATGAGGGGCGCTTGTTTTTCACTCGGCTCCTCCCGTTTTGCCAGTACTGTGGTATTAGTGGTTTAGGAAGAGGGGAGTTTTTCACAAATCCAGCGCTCCCTAACTCATGCCTGGCTGTGACGTAAATGGTGTGCGGCCGTGAAGCCAGGACAGTAAACAAACATGTCGTCGGTAGTATGGGACTATTTCAAAGTTTCAGAGTTAGATAGTTCGCTTGCTATTTGTATTAACAAATGCAATGCAGAAGTTCCACGAGGAGGGAAAAAGGCAACGAGCTATAATACTTCCAACCTGATTAGTCACCTGAAACATCGCCATCGCTACGATGGTGTGTTAAAAGCGTACGAAGACGCCTGCGCTGCTAAACTAGCGGCAAATCCAAAGCCAGCTGCAAAGGCACCGGGGCTTTTACCTATCGATGAGGCTTTTGAAAAAGGCAAGAACTTTATTTGGCAAAATAAATATGGTCACTTTGAAGAGTCAAAACTGTTCTTGGCTTTGTTTTGTTCATAGTAGTAATGCTCATGTCATTTGCTCACTACTAGTCTTTTTTTTACCACCAGGTGTGCAAAAACTACAGGTACATTTAATATATATATATATTATATTATTATCGGTTATCAGTATTGGTCTTGAGAAGCAGGAAGTTATCGGTATCGGTTTCAAAAAACCAATATCGTGCATCCCTAAATAAAACGGCACATTTGTCTTGTAGTAAATAAAAAGGGATCACTGTGAACGTATGATAGTACACGTTGAAGATCCAATGGGGATACTGAATGGCGGTTCCGATTGATCTCAATCAGTAAGGCATGACGCAGACCCAACGTTTCGTTGCTCTTCGTGGCTGTAGGTCTATTCAAATTGCATTCGGAGGCATTTTGATCTGACCATGGCCGCACTGATATTATAACGCCTGAGAATTTTCACACCTTTAGTGTATAAAACTCCCCCACTACTTAGACCAGGGGTGCCCAACCAGTCAATCGTGATCGACCGGTCGATCGTGGGGAGATTCCCAGTCGATCGCGAGATGTGTCTAAAAATAGAACAACAATATTCTGTTTTATCGTTAATGTCCTATAACATAATCTTCCTGTGCTAGAATAATGCACTTAAACGTATTAAAGCTTTGTGATTGGCCCGGCGTGACCCCATCTGTCGGGGCGTGGCTGGTGGGCAGTGGGCACTATTTCGCTGATGTTGTCCGTGTCAACAGGAGTGACAGTCCGTACACACACAAGACCGCAATTATGGCAGAAGCAAAAAATCCTAACATATATAATTAATTTTCACTCCGAGTGGGAGGATGATTATTTTTGTATCTATTGCAATTCAAAGTCCATCTGTCTCATCTGCAATGCGAGCATGGCTTTATCGAAGAAGAGTAATTTAGGAGCGGCATTTCAAAACAGTGCACAAACGCTACGAGACGGAATTCCCTCCTAATTCTGCCCTACGCTCCCAAAAGGGGAGGGGCCTGAAAGGACAGCTAAATGCACAGCAGTCCATTTTCACCCGGCCCAACAACAAGAGCAAGGCTGCTACCAGAGCACCTTATCGTGTCAGTCACGTTCTTGCGAAACACATGAAGTCTTTCAAAGATGGCGAAGTTGTGAAAGAAGCATTCCTGGAGGCTGCCGACGCGCTTTTGGGGGACAGTAAAAATAACAGAAGCATTTCAACAGGTTTTTGATATAATAAAAACTCAAGTTAGATACCGTTATTAATCAGCTGTAAGTTTTAGTTTGTTTGAACTTATTCATTATAATTATTGTCCAAAATGGTATATGAATGCAAACTTAAATTGATTATAGTCTATCTTCAATTCAGGTTAAGAAACTAGTGTTGCTTGCATCCTATTTTAAAGGCATTTATTTTTATACTCTAATAAAATGCAACAAAAAAATGGTTTGATTTGATTAATTTTGTCTTTTTTATTGCACTTTGGCAGCAGATTCCTGCGTAGCTTCAGATCTGAGTTGTCTTATTAGTAAGCCTCATTTATACTTTTGTAGCAACACTATTTTTATATCATGGCAAAGAAAGGGTTCCTGTGTCATATGTGGCAGCACTGTTCAATGGTTCTTGAAAACATGACCCACTGTAGTGATGTGTGAATAAACTCCAACTCTGTATCAACAACACTGTTGTGTAACTTCAGTTAAATACTTGTATGTGTGTAGATTAGAAAGAGGTGAGATAAAGGATCTGCAGTATTTTATGAAGTATTAATCGTACAAAGGTCAGTTGTATACAAGTAGAAGTGTGTATTTATACCTGGTAGTAGGCTGTCAGTAATGGCCTCTCTATTTGGACTGGTAGATCTTGGCAGACTGGCAACTTTAAAAGTAGCTCTCGGTTCAAAAAAGGTTGGGCACCCCTGACTTAGACTATTCCTTGCACCCCTCTTCTAGCATAAGCCCGAATGGTCTCAACCATATTGCATCAGTAACGTGCACTTGTTGTTACAGCAGGATCAGTTTGTGTGTTGTGGACACGACCCGTATATTTTCGCAATCCGTGTTCTCAACATTTAGCATTTTGTTTATTATTTAATTTAATTGAATTTGCTTACTTTAACATAATTTTTCATGGTGGGGCTAAGCCATTTCTTGGTATGGCTGTAGCCTACCCCAGCCATACCCTGGCGCCGCCACGGTTCATCGACAACCAGAGAAGTCTCTCTCATATTCCAGAGAGCACAAGTTTGAGACACTTCTGAATTGGTTTTATCCTTCAGACCTGGTGTTTGCTGCTTCCTTACATTTACTGTGACTACACCACTTCACTTCAAATGTTCCCCTCCAATCGCCAAAGCTGTCTGCCCTGAGCGCAGCCAACGCCTCTCTCTCTCTCTCTCTCTCTCTCTCTCTCTCTCTCTCTCTCTCTCTCTCTCTCTCTCTCTCTCTCTCTCTCTCTCTCTCTCTCTCTCTCTCTCTCTCACTCTCTCGATGCCCTATTGAGCCAGGAATATGTATTTGTGGCTTATGGCTGCCAGAGATAATGACAAAAGATCATGTGTAATGATTTACTTACTTTCCAATAATGTGTCTGTCTTAGACTTAATCCTTAAAGCAGCAGAGCGTTAGATGTTCCTGTGTCTCCTATACTTTGTCATGAGTTTAAATCATTGACTGCAGGACTTGCTGAATTCAAATTGATTGATTGAGGCCACATTGCCGGACTTAAATAGCATTGTACAGAAAGGACTGGCTCCACGTAATAATCATTCTGGTATCGGGGGGGAAAAACGCTTTTTTGTATTCCTGCAAAATAGAAAGTGCACATAGCGTGAGATACAAGGCTGATTGCAGACTTATACCCACAGTCTACATCTGATGAGTCAGACTAAACCCAAAGTAACATCCCAGGACATGGGACAAGATTTCAACTCAACCGTAGTCGTCACATACTTGCTGGCTTTACTTGAATGGCAATAAAATACAGCACTTAGAAATGTTTTCATTCATGCAAGCCAGAAAAAACACCCCTCCATTCCAAATCTAAAGTAGCCTCGTCCCTTTGATCTGAGACCTGGTTCTGTTCACGTCTCCCCGAAGAAGCCTGCCACCCATCATGTCTTAAAGAGTGTCTTTTTGGGTGTGTATGACCCATTTGAGAGCTTTGACAGATTGCCTTTGATTCCATTCTCAGGAGATCATGGTTGGCTCTATGTACCAGGCCAAAATCCTTCCACTCAGTTCATGTACCAACCAGGAGAGAGGTAAGCCTGTGACAAGATGTGAGGATGTTTTCATGGTTAGAAACTAGTTGAACTGCTGTTGTATAGAGAATACATGTAACATGAACTGTGTAAGAAACAGTCCCAAGAACTAAGTCATGTCAGGGTTTTAAAGCCTCTGTGTAGAAGTTGGGAAAAACATAGATTATAGGTTTTTAAGAAGTCGCTGTAAAACACTTTTCTCTTCCTAATTCCCCATCTTCTTCCTGTGCCGCCTCTCTTTACCTTCCTCTGTTCTTTCAGCCTGCAGCGGGGAGGACCAGTTGTTGTGGAAGCCGGGCGTTCTGCCGGAACAGGAAGTGGAAGAATTTTTGCTTAATGCACAGAGGCCGTTTAACCAGGAGGGGGCAGCATGCACACAAACACAAGGACACACTGTGCGGGACAACCAACAGGTAGGCAACTTCCCAACATTATTGGGATTTGCATTTGATTATTGGGACTGGGCTTTAAAATACGTTTGTGTTGCTGGCTTCACATTGTATCTTAATTTCACTGAAATACTTTCTCAATGGCTGCTCAAGAGAAGGGGGGGTTGTGAATAAACTTATAACATTTAAACAAAACCAAATTACATTTCTGAATAAGACTCATGCTGGAAATCTACACTACAGTATGCACTTCACACTCTAAAGTCGTTTCCTTGCAAAACATGTCACCATTTTCTCAAGGTAGGACAATTCTTCATTAACTGGTGATTTGTAGTCAATCCTTAATAATAAACCTGACTTAAAGTGATTTATGTATTGTTTTAAAATGTATTGTTCTTGTTTATTCTTATTCTAAAGTGTTTAAGTGGACGGGAGAGCCAGCACAGGTGCATTTGATTGCATTTGAATGTACTATTACTCTTTAATGTATATGTCAATAATCGCATGTTTCTACCTACCTCAACTCAATGCAGTTGGTATTAGATCAAGGTTTGCTCTGTGTTTGTTACTGAAAGAGTGCTTCTGTAATCCACTCAGTGTAAACAGAGATCAGGTTCTGCAGCTATTCTCTTTGTGACAGTCTGACCCTTTCCTCTCACCCCTTCTCTTGATCCTCAGGCTCTGTACGAACTAGTGAAATGCAACTTCAATGCAGAAGAGGCACTGAGACGAGTAAGCTTCAATGTGAAAGTGTTCAGTGGTAAGAATCTGCTATTATACTTATTAACAATGCACTCAAAACCAAGACCGTGATAATGAAATCCTCCCTAATATAAAAACAATTGTATTCAATTGAACTCACAAGTGTTTCTTAATACGCCTCCCTCTCTGTAGAAGAGCTTTGTGCCTGGAGCGAGGAGGAGTGCAGGAGCTTCGAGCACGGCTATCGGGTTTACGGGAAAAACTTCAACCTCATCCAGGGGAATAAGGTGAGAGCTCAGTCCTATCTCAGTCCGTAGTATAATGTGTACATGTTGTCTAATGTTTTAAATGATTATAAAAAACATGTTATTTTTCATTTCATTTAAATTAATTATTCCAAACTTCCTTTTTGTACCAATATTTGTATTCCATTTTATTTTGTCTTTTTATTATTGCACATTTTATTTGCACTTTTTATGTTTGTTTAAATATTCTTATGTTATTTCTTTATTCTTAATTTTTGTTTGTTTATTTCTCAAATGGAACAACCGTCATGAAACCTTTTACCCCCCTGGAAAAAAATAAGTTTTCTTATTTGGTTATTTGAAGGGAGGTAAAGGTATCGTGTGTTGGGGAAAAATATCCCTAGGCCCACACCTTCGACCCAGTTGATCAGCTTGTCCTGCCCTCACTGAGCACAGGCCTGCTACCTTGGGCTGCTGTGCTCTCAGTGTTCTGTCTCCCTGTTCCTGCCTGTTGGCGTCAGTTGAGGTGTTATGGTTTTATCTTGTTATGCAGCATGTTGATTCGTCTCTCAGAACTAGCTAAATACACGGGTCTGGGGGAGAGATCTTCAGAATTCTCCGGCCGAAGCTCCAAATAAACCATCAGTGTTTGCCATCAAAGTTCCTGCTCTACCCGTGTCTCTCTGAGTCCTGTTTCCATCACAACGTGTTCCTCCTCCTCAGGTACGAACGCGCTCCGTTGGCGAGTGTGTGCAGTATTACTACATGTGGAAGAAGTCTGAGCGCCACGAGTACTTCACCCAGCAGACGACCAGGCTGAGCCGCAAGAAGTTCAGCCTGCAGTCAGGGAGCATGTGAGTACTGCTGCAACAACAATGACTACATAGACTAAGAGATCACGCCTGACATGAGCCCTTTCTCATTTCTGCTATTCAGTTTAATGAAATCCCAGAATATTAGACGAGTAAGGCTTATTTCTTCTGCTCTGTTTCCCAGAATATGCTTCTATTGTATTTATTCCTGCAGTGAGGATTTCCTGCATGTTCTCATCTGAACTTCCCATTCAATCTATTACAGTCCTGTTCCCAGAACCTCTTTGAGAAACACCATTTTTAAAGCAGTTCATTTATTTATATTAGCTGTAGCTCTGTCAATGCTATTCTAAGTAGGAATCCATTGGGTATCCAAATCATGCACTACTTAAAGCTGAAGCATTACTGCAGAGTATCCCGATGAAGTCATCTTAACTGGAATTCATGTTTATTTTATTATCCAGAGAAACAGGTTTCTTTGTGCCATTTCTCAAATGTTTGTACTAAATGTGTTTCCATTCCCCTCCATGTGACCAATGTGATCAGTTCAGGGCGTGTGCATTAGGGTGTGTAACTCTCCTGCGCTGTGGGTTTAATCTGTTATTGTTGCTTGATAACTTTACACCATTGATGCTTACACTAACAGTGTTTTGTGTGTTGCAGAGAGGATGGAGAGCAGGACGGGGAGGGTGGGGAGGTGGAGGGAAGCAACTCCTCCTCAGGCTTGTCGTCTCGGGGCTCCACGCGGCAGCTGGAGTCCCCGGTCCCTCCACAGTCCAGCCTGGAACTGGACAAACAAGGTAAACACACACATGATGTGGTGACTTAAATACTGGAAAGTACATTTGCTCTCTTACAGAAGGCTATAACTAATAGTGAAGCGAGGGTTTCAGCCCTAAGACCCTAAACTATTATTCCTATGATCTCATGTTAAGGCAAGAGAGAACCGCTTTGAAACAAGCACAAAGAAGTAGTAGGAAACATATCAATTGTAAAATGAGCTGAATTTGAGTCGGTTTATTGTGGTTTTAACTGAAACTGAAATTCGAAAGAGCTGCGCATTTTTCTTTATAAAAACCATTTACATACCATGTCAGGCACATATGCATCATCTTCTTTGTACATACACTTCCACAGATTTCATTTTGTCTATTGAATGTCCTATTTTGAGTTCATTGTTTGCCTTTTTTCAAACATCACATTATCATTATCTTATTTTATAAACATTTTTCAACTCTCACCCTTTTTGTTTTTCCCACAACTTTTTTTTTTTCCTCCTGTGTTGTTGTGTTTGTGTGTGCATGTGTGTATGTGTTTGCATGTACACTCGTTGTCATGGTACTCCAGAGGAGGAGAGGAGACCCCGCCGCAGACGAACTCCCCGCTTTCTCTTAAAGCCATGAACTCGCTCCAGGCAGGCCACAGAACGCAGGCCGGGCCTGCAGGTAAACACAAGAGAAATGTAGAGACTAGAGACTCTAAATAATGTGTTGATTGGTAACGGATCTCAAAAACGTTCCTGTGGTAGATAATTCAACGCAAATTAGATCCAACAGCTACATAGCGTATAGCCTCACCTGGCTGTTCTGTAAATGATGTCAGATATAATGAGTCATTCAAGAATACATTCAAATGTTCCTACTTGACTTTTGTGTTGGTTAAAAAATAATTATATATTTGTAGTCAAATCTGGTCCAATTGTAACCATGTTGGGTCAAGGTTCAAGGCTTTTATTAGTCATACGTACATAGCTACAGTGTAGTTATGACAATGAAAATCTTCGGTCATAATAATGGAAGTTGAATTCCAACTACATGTTTGTGGGGAAAAACTTTAACTCTAATTCAAAATTAAACTTGTATTTACTAAGGACAAGTTTTGGTTGGTACTAATGGCAGCAGGGCTTATCGACAGCATACACAAACAACAGTCAAATGTATAAGAACTCTTACAATGCAAAGTGTTGAAATAAATACCACTGTGATACATGTTTCTGTGAAATATAACCACACCTTAAGAACAACTCACTGCTGATAGATTACAGATTAAGTCATTCATTATGCAACAATATACTGTATAAACAATATAATAATAATAATCATAATAATACATTGTATTTACAAGTGCTTTTCCTGGTGCTTAAAGATTCCTAATTCTCATCCAACCTCTATTCAAGCATTTTCATCTCAGTATCAAAACTAAATATCATTTTCAAGCAGCTGTTTTTACTATATGTTATACGTTTAGGTGCACTTAATGTTTTGGATGAAGCTAGTTTAAAGGGGACCTATTATGCAAAATCCACTTTTTCCTGTCTCTTCTACATCAACATGTGGAAAGAGATTCTGAAAGTTTTAGGAAAAAAGATTCTCTCTCTTTTTGTCCTGATCCATTTCTATAAAAACCTGTCTGAAAATGAGCTGATCAGATTTTGGCCACTTTATGATGTCATAACGATTTTTTTGGCTTGGTAACCATTAGCCAATCACCAACCAAGGTAACCCCCCCCCCTCACCTTATCACCTGAATCTCCTCCTAGAGCACCATTGTGTTCTTTCTAACCAGATATCTCTCAGAGGGGCGTGGGGAGTGGCTCCTTATTTTCATCTAAAGTAACAGACATGGGCCGTTTCTCAATCGCAAGTAAAACTGCTGCAGAGCAACTATTTCAAGTATACAACGTCATCGAGTGGCGCCGAAGGACTGTTTAAATGCATGTTAAATGCCCAGCATTCTGCGCCACTCGATGACGTAGTATACTTGAAATAGTTGCTCTGCAGCAGGTATACTCGCGATTGAGAAACGGCCAGAGAATCAGCACTTTTGAAACAGGGCTGAAACAGAGGGGATTATGGGATGCTGCAATGATCTGTTTGGTGTTTGGAGCCAAACACTTCAGAGACATGTTTTGTATATATCTGAATATCTGAGACCTGTAATATATTGATGAAAAACAGTATAATAGGAGACCTTTAATTGAAAACTTCAATGAATCGAACCGTTCTAGAACAGATGAAGCAACATTACCTGACCTGAGTTTCAGACGTGTTGTTGATCTGTCTCCCTCAGACGGTGCTCTGGTGTCAGACCTGTGTGGAGACGGATGTCCTCAGTTCGGCTGTCCCTTCTCCCTCCTGCCTCTGGACGATCTGCGGGACCCCGGCTCCGGCAGTTGTTGTCCCTCAGCTCAGCTCCAGCCCCCCCCTCAGTGGAGCCCTCCGTCCCGCCACGAGGACCCCCGTCTCTCCGGCCCCTGTTTCTACCAGCTGCATATGTGTGGTGGACCTTTTGTCTCTGAGGACGGAGATGCAGCGGGCGGAGGGACGCCCCCCCCCCCACGGGCTGCAGGTGGAGTTCAGCCTCCCCTCTGCCTCCCCCCCCTCCTCCTCTGTCCTCCCATCACACTTCCAAACACTTGGCGCCCTGCTGCACTCCTCCCCCGTCCAGCACCCCCCCCCCCTCTCACACAGTGATGGGACATGGGGAAACTGAGTGGTACTCTTCATGAGATGTTTGCTGGTGTTTACTCGCACCGGACGTTGAGAAACCAGGACACAAAGTGCATTTTCTTAACTTTGATAACAAGGATGGAACTCCTAAGCTGACACACTTGAACCCTCTTTCCATCGTGGAAGGACAAGTGTTAATCACTCCTTCAGGTGTCGATGATGTGTTTATGAACTGTTTGTTACAACAACCTGCACCAGGGCAGATACATTGATTATGTATAAATGTGAAGCACAGTGCAGGTGATGAACTGCAGTGGCTAGCAGTCATTTCTTAAACAGATCAATTATTTACAATGTTAACCACTGTTTCTTTGTTTTCTTATTTATCAGGGTGGAACAGTTTAACTGCAGCTCAGATTTATTTTTAGATTTGTTTTGCATATTTTTCAACAGTTTTGCAGCCGGTTGAGATCTTCCTCTGGAAATATGAGTATGGAGTCAAATGTGTCCCTTCAAAACTAAATAATTTATTTAAACCTTTTGTTTGAACGTCACCTTTAATAAGTCTGTAACTAGCTCTCCCTCTTCTGTCCCTGATGTTGATAATGTCTGTATTTCCAACCTCCTCCACTCCACCTGTCTGAACAACATTTGGCACAACAGTCAATCTAATCAATTTTGTTTTATATACGAAAAGCTTAAACCAGATGCTTCATATTTTTCCGGATCTATTTTTTATTTCTGATTTGTTGAATTTTTCATCCTTTGAAGAATGAAATTGAGATTTATAAAGGCGCGGTGCTTTGTCGTCATTTCTGAAAAACACGGTGCATATTCGGTATCATTAGGAGGCGGTTTGACATGAATAATAGCCATACAAATAAATTGTGTTAAGTCGGTGTACATGGAAACATAGGTAAGTGAATGCGATCACACTTCCTCAGGATCTCCAACTGATGATCCCCATGAGCCGTAGTCAGTTACCATTGATTTGGACAAATGGATCAGAAAATAGAGCAATTAAATGTTAAAACAAGTTAATTGGATTGAGATGCATCTTGTCTTGTATCAACATTACAAAAGATGGTGGGGTATAAAGATAATCAGAATATTTAATACAAAATGTGTTGCAACTCGTGCTTGCCTCTTTAGTCTAAGTGAGATCTGATCAGTGAACACGGTTGATCAAAGGTACATCAGTGATATTTGAACAAACGGAGAGTCTCTTTTTCCTCTAAAATGTGTCTTTCACCCACTGTAGCGGCCAAAATCATATAGAAATAAAACAGATAATTAACTTAAAATAATACAGCCGCTGAGGCACTAGTTAGCAGATCTTACGCAGGGCAATGATCCAGGTCCAGACAAGATTCTCCATTTGTGCCGTTTATTCCGATAACAAAGTACAACGAACAGGTTTCCTATATCTCTTTCCTTAAGCCTTTCCTATGGCTTTCCTTTTGCTGGCTTGAAACACCCTGCTAAAAAACCGTTTGCCTACTAGTGCTCTGGCTCCCACTTCCACCTGTCTCCAATATATACAATTACACCAGGTGCTCTAATCACGCAGTGCCCAAAACATGCCTTCAGAATAAAAGCATAGAAACTACTTTAACTTATGACACTGACTAAGAATACATTTACAATAAACACTATAAAACAGCAAGAAAATAAATGTTAAACTATTAAATAATATAAAGAGATATATATATATATATATATATAGCTCCAACACCCACCTCTGCCAGACATATTGAAATAAACAGAAGGCTCCTTTATATGAATGCATTAACATTTCCAAAAATGACATTGTTCTCCACTTAGGATGTGCAATACAGAATCTCCACTTTTTCTTACCGGTATCCACAAATTCTCGTTTCCCCTTCAATGAGATCTGTAAATCTGATCATATTCAACCTGCAGTGTCATTTCTCTAAATAAATCTGCCAGTTGCAGAATGATAAAGACTGAACCGTGGTGTGATGGCATAGATACAGTGATAAATGCATATGAAGATGGACGAAGCTAATATTAGGGGTTATTACAGCGGATGTGATTTTAACACAAGAAATAGATGAGCTTTAGGAGGCCACTTATTAGAAAATGTTCATTCACTTTTTCATAATTTCATGAATTGATTTGTGTATCCGTTCAAACATACGTGTTGTTTCTTCAGCATGTGAGTGTATTTTAGTCGCAAGTTTGAGCTATCCTATTGATTTCTGTTTCTGTCTATTACTGGTGGAGCTCTTCTTGATATTCCTGTTAAAGTCACGCCATGTTTCAGATCAATGTTTGTTTAGTGTCTGTTTACATGAGGGAGAGGCTCCAGATCAGGCAGGATAAGGCACTGAATCACTGCCTTTTAATTCATTTATTTTATTTTAGCAATGTATACATCTTACTGCTTCTGTTATGTTTGTTTATAATTATTATATTTTGTAAAGAAAAGGAAGAAACTATTAAAATGAATAAGTTGAAATGCTATGTGCTTGTATACATTATTTTAAAAGCTGATAAAGTGTCTTGTTTGTGAGATAGATGTCGTATATATCACAGTCTCAATATTAAGTGCACATAGAAGGAAAATTCACATGTTAGAAATACACACACAACTATTTTCTTGTTGCAAAAAGATATTTTTAAAATCCACAAACGTTTTAATGTACACAGGAATAGTCACCATACTATAAATGAAAATCCACATGTAAAAAAATACAGCCACAACTATGTGTTTCTTTGAATATATATCCCTTGTATGGTATTCGGGTCTGTGGGACCCGTTTTCATTATCTAGCTAAAGAAAAATTATATGATACATTATTTTTTCAAACCCACACTCAATGGCCTTGGCTCATTTTCTGTGAAGAATATATATCAGAACACATTTTCAATGACCACCCACTGTAGTATCCCTGCAATGTGTAGTACAGTGAGTATCTCTGCTGTACTGTGTGTAGTACAGTGAGTATCCCTGCAATGTGTAGTACTGTGAGTATCCCTGCTGCACTGTGTGTAGTACAGTGAGTATCCCTGCAATGTGTTGTACATTGAGTATCTCTGCTGTACTGTGTGTAGTACAGTGAGTATCCCTGCAATGTGTAGTACAGTGAGTATCCCTGCTGTACTGTGTGTAGTACAGTGAGTATCCCTGCTGTACTGTGTGTACTACAGTGAGTATCCCTGCAATGTGTAGTACAGTGAGTATCCCTGCTGTACTGTGTGTAGTACAGTGAGTATCCCTGCTGTACTGTGTGTACTACAGTGAGTATCCCTGCAATGTGTAGTACAGTGAGTATCCCTGCTGTACTGTGTGTAGTACAGTGAGTATCCCTGCAATGTGTAGTACTGTGAGTATTCCTGCTGCACTGTGTGTAGTACATTGAGTATTCTTGCAATGTGCAGTGAGTATCCCTGCTGTACTGTGTAGTACAGTGAGTATCCCTGCAATGTGTTGTACAGTGAGTATCTCTGCTGTACTGTGTGTAGTACAGTGAGTATCCCTGCAATACTGTGTGTAGTACAGTGAGTATCCCTGCTGTACTGTGTGTAGTACAGTGAGTATCCCTGCTGTACTGTGTGTAGTACTATGAGTATCCCTGCAATACTGTGTGGAGTACAGTGAGTATCCCTGCTGTACTGTGTGTAGTACTGTGAGTATCCCTGCAATACTGTGTGGAGTACAGTGAGTATCCCTGCTGTACTGTGTGTAGTACTGTGAGTATCCCTGCAATGTGTAGTACAGTGAGTATCCCTGCAATACTGTGTGAAGTACAGTGAGTATCCCTGCTGTACTGTGTGAAGTACAGTGAGTATCCCTGCTGTACTGTGTGTAGTACAGTGAGTATCCCTGCTGTACTGTGTGAAGTACAGTGAGTATCCCTGCTGTACTGTGTGTAGTACAGTGAGTATCCCTGCTGTACTGTGTGTAGTACTGTGAGTATCCCTGCTGTACTGTGTGTAGTACAGTGAGTATCCCTGCAATACTGTGTGGAGTACAGTGAGTATCCCTGCTGTGTACAGAGATTTCTCAGTTCTGGTGTAGTTTTAGCTACACAATACACACACATGTGTTCACTGTTCACACACGACCTGAATCTTGAATGTGTTGGACATGTTAAAGTGCTGAGCGACTGTGTGTGAATGTGGAGAGCAGCAGCAGGAAAAGCCCTCGTGTGACGTCATGGTAACTGTCTCTCTTTATCTCATCGGTCCTCCTGTTCTCAAGGGCAGCTTTCAGCGGCAGACAAGGAGCTCCGCTGCTAATTACGCAAGCCTTTCATTTGAGGAGAATAAATGTCAAGTGGCCATGAAAGACGCCTGGGAGAGCAGCTAAATAAAGTGAAGTGTTTTTATTATTCTGCAGTCAGTTAATAGAAAACTGATGGATTCATTAAAAGACCAATAACCAAATGACAAGTTTTCTTTCACTAAAAAAGGCAATCTGTGAGATTTATTGTCTTAAATAATGAAGGTGGTTTCCACTTAGAGTGTGACTGAGGATGTACATTCATTTATCAGGAGAAATGCTCTTTTTTTGCATTTCAGTTAACTATAAAACAAGTAAATAAGACTAGTTAGTAGAAGAACATCTCAGGCTAAGCAATGTCTTCTCTAAGCTGCATTCAGCAATAGATGGCCACTGGTTACAGAGATTAACAAACACATGTGGAAACATTTCTTATCACAATGCAATTATTGGCCTGCTGAACAAAAGTTAGAATGCAAAGATGACCTTTTACACCTGGATGTCCCCCTTTAACCTTTAATACAATCTATAATAGAGCTCAGCGCAAGTTATTTCAGGAAGACTGGGTATATTGGGAGGCGTGTGGCGCAGTGGAGTAGTGCGTTGGTGTTCGTATCAGGGGGTCACAGGTTCAAACCCCAATGCAGTTAGCATATCGATGTGTCCCTGGGCAAGACACTTCACCCCAAATTGCTCCTGTGGGGAATTCCCACAGTATTGAGTATGTAAGTCGCTTTGGATAAAAGCGTCTAACAAGTCATATATATATGTACATTCACTACACTTATAATCAGCTCCTCACGGGCGTCTCTTTAACCTATTACATTTCACCTTATTCTCCAGCATCCAATCATCGTGCTGCAGCCACACTTTAAAATGGTTCTCCTCTCTCCTGCAGTCAGCTGTGATTTCAGGTCTTCACGCTGCCTAGACCCCGGGGGGGTTCCCCACATGCTCACGGCTGCATTTCCCCCTTTAGAGATACGATTTCAGGATCGGAGTCTAATCGCCAAAGGCTTAACATTTATGGCATGTGTCAATAAATGTTCTTTAACTAAATGAAGTCTCTCCTGATTGAACTGTATAATGGAGAAAACTCTGAAGCTCACAGTGTTCCTTTCGAATGTTCTCCTGTTTTAAATACAAGAATACAAAAATACAAGAAAAAAGCTATAAATATCGAAATAAATGAATGTATAAATAAAAAAACATTTGTTGACAATAAAACAGAACACACATTATTATATATCTTTAATGTATGTTCTACATTTATTTTCAGTTACATTCATATATTAATTTCTGTGTCTGTGTGTGCTTCACAATATGTTGTTTTGCTGTCTTGTATTCTGTGGAAATGACAACATTTATAACAAGTACTTTCAATTGCTCTGAAAGTTTCAACAAGTACACGTGTCTTTAACAATATCTTTCAGTTGCCATGTTATTTTAGTTCACTTCCTCTGACCAGTCCCCCTTTTATTTGGAAGCTTTGTGTGAAGTCGACACAGTGCGAGGAGAAACACAGTGACTCTTCTCTCTTCAA